TTTATTTTTCTACTCTCCTCTATTTTTTTTATCTATGTCTTCTTTAGAAGCCTTTATAAATTCTTTTATTGCAATGTTTTTCTCAGATGGGTTTTCCTCCCTATGTTTCTGTAGTTGCTTCTTTACTTCATCTGCTATGAGTTTTGAGAGTCCTTTTTTATTTCACAAGTGAATTGCACTCTTATTACCTCTATATCTTTTTGCTGTTGCTTATTTACTATCGATGCTATTAATTCATGCATTTGAGCCGAGCTAGTGTCCTCCTCACTTGTTCCCTGTGGGTACTGGGTTTCCTCCACATGTTTCTGCATTTGATTCTTCACTTTACATGCTATTAATTCAGGGATTTCTTTTTTTTATTTCCAATCTGAGTTCCTCTATACCTTTATGCAGCTGTTTCTTTATTTCAGAAGCTGTTGATTCATTGCTTTCAGCTGTGTGATTTCCAATATTTTCTGTGTTAATGTCCTCTGCACTTGTTACGGGTGGGCTTGGGTTTTGAGGTTGCATTTTCTTCCTTCTCGTCATTTTGTGTAGCACTGTCTTCTGCCGTTTCTTGTAGATCTTTGCTGTAGTTCTAACTTTGCAACTACTGAAGTTCAGGTGGAGCTCTACAGAGTTTGGAGTTATCCAGCTGAGTCTGGCTTAGTCTGGCTGCTGTGCTCAGCTCCTTCCCGCTGCGGATCTGAGCTAGGAGTAGCTCTGGGTGTTCCTGGAAGTCAGCAGAAATTCCTACTCCGCTTGCGGTGTGGGTGAGGTACTGTGGAGTGGTGGCGGTGGCCCAAGGGTGTGGGAAAGGTTCCGGCCCAAGCTGTGCCTGGGCTGGGAATGGCCCCGCCGGCTCAGGGTAGCAGGAATCTCTTCACACACTCACCGGACCTGGGTTTGGACTGGGTCTGCGTTTCCCGGAAGTCGGCAGAAATTCCTACTAGGCAGGCTGGGTGGGGGAGGTACTGCGGAGTGGTGGGGGGCGGTTCGAGGGTGTGGGAGATGCTGTGGCCCATGCTGCGCCTGGGCTGGGACTGGTCCCTCCAGCGCAGGGTAGCAGGAAGCTCTCCACACACTCACTGGACCTGGGCTAGGACTGGGTCTGGGGGTTCCCCGAAGTCGGCAGAAATTCCTACTTGGCTGGTGGGGTGGGGGAGGTACTGCGGAGTGGTGGGGGGCGGCCCGAGGGGGTGGGTGATGGTCCGGCCCACGCTGCGCCTGGGCTGGGACTGCTCCCGCGGGCTCAGTGTAGCAGGAAGCTCTCCACACACCCCTACCTATGTTTCTGTAGTTGATTCTTTACTTCAGATGCTATGAGTTCTGATAATTCTTTTTTTATTTTAGAAAAGAATTGCTCTCTGAGTTCCTCTATAAATTTCTGCTGTTGCTTATTTAGTGTGGAGGGTATTAATTCGTACCTTTGAGCTGAGCTAGAAGAAAAATATTCCGCTCTTAGTTCCTCTATGACTTTCTGCTGTTGCTTATTTACTATAGATGCTATTTATTCATACATTTGAGCTGAGCTAGTGTCCTCTGCAGTTGTTCTGGTTGGGCATTGGGTTTCCTACATATGTTTCTACATTTGATTCTTTACTGCAGTTGTTACTAATTCAGGGATTTCATTTTTTATTTCCAGTCTGAGGTCCTCTATACTTTTCTGCAGCTGTTTATTTCAGAAGTTGTTGATTGATTGCTTTCAGCTGTGTGATTTCCAATTTGTTCTGTGTTAATGTCCTCTGCACTTGTTACAGGTCTTCTTGGGTTCTGAGGTTGCATTTTGTTTCTTCTCATCATTTTGTGTAGCACTGTCTTCTGACCTTTGTTGTAGATCTTCATTGTAGTTATAACCTTAGCACGTACAGAATTTCAGGTGCAGATCTACAAAGTTTGGATTTATCCAGCTGTGCCTGGTTTGGGTCTGGCTGCTGTACTCAGCTCCTTCCCACTACTGCCCTTGAGGTTGAACCTGTTTTGCCCCTCTGGCAAGATTTTCTGCTCCTTGACTAGCTGGGTCGTCCTGTCCCCTACACTTTCTGCAGTGATTTCAGCTGATGGTTTTCACCCCTGGCTTGTATGCCAGGCCTGAACTGAGTCTGGAAGGACAAGTTGGAGTAGGGGGGAGAGGCAGCTCTCCTATACACTCACCAGTCCTGGACTAGGGCTGGATCCGGAGGTTTCTAGAACTCTAAAGAAATTCCTTCTCTGTGTCCGGCGTGTTGGGGGGTACTACGGAGTGATGAGGGTGTTCCAAGAGGGTGAGAAAGCGTGTCACCCATCCTGTACATGGGCTGGGACCAGTAGGTCTTGCCAGCACAGGGTAGCTGGAAGCTATCCTGCACACTCACCCGACCTGGGGTGGGCTGGGTCTGGGGGTTTCTGGAATGCGGCAGAAATTCCTACTCGGCAGGCAGGGTAGGGGAAGTGTTGCATAGTGGTGGGTTTCATTCCAAGGGGTTGCAAGAGGTTCTAACCCAAGCTGTGCCTGAGCTGAGATCAGTAGGTCCCGCTGGTGCCGGGTAGCTGGAAGCTCTCCCACATACTCACTGGGCCTGGGCTAGGACTGTGTCTTGGGTTTGCTGGAAGGTGGCAGAAATTCTACTTGGCGGATGGGGTAGGGTGGTGCTGTGTATTGGTGGGGGACATACCAAGGGGGTGGAATATGGTCTCACCCATGCTGCGCCTGGGCTGGAACCAGTATTTCTCGCTGGCACAGGGTAGCCGGAAGCTCTCCCACACACTCACCTGTTCTGGGCTAGGACTGGGTCTCATATCCTTGGATTTTTTCCTGGTCCACTTTGCAGTGTATTTCTTTTAATTGACGAATTGAGTCTATTTACTTTGATGGTTATGATTTAGATGTATTGACTTATGTTTGACATGATATTAACCTACTGTTGTTACTTCTTTTCTCCTGTGCTTAATTGTTTTCCCTATTTAGTGGTTCCTTCTGTTCTCATTCATGGAGCTTTGATCATTTTGGTCCCAGTCTAGGACATCTTTTAGCAGTCTGTGTAGGGTTGCCTTTTTCATCATGAAATTCTTTAGTTATTCTTTGTCATGGAAGTATTTCACTGCTCCATCATACTTGAAAGAGAGTTTTACAGGGTATAGTAGTCTGGGCTGGAATTTGTTTTCATAGATGACTTGAAGTACTCTGCTCCATGCTCTTCTCGACTTCATGTTTTGTGAAATGAAGTGTGCCATTATTCTGATGGATTTTCCATTAACTATGATTTCTTCCTTTCCCTTGCATCTTTCAGTGTATTAGTCGTGTTCTGGATTAATGGAACGTTCACTATTATATGTCTCGATGTGTTTTTATTTGGGTTGATGTTTTTTAGATTTCGTTATGCTTCAGTTACTGATTGTCAGATTGTTTCCTCATCTTTTGGAAGGTTTCTGCTATTTCTTCTGCACATATTCTTTTTATATCGTTTGTATTGACTCTTTTCTCATTGATGCTTTTTAATCAGACATTGTTTGACTTTGTATTGTCTTGCAGGTGATGGTTTATTTTTTTCTGCATTCTAGCTGTTTTTAAGAGATTTCTTTTTTATTTTTACCTTTTTACTGCCTGGGATGGTGTCTTCTAGATCTGAATCTCTATCTTTACTTTAACTCAAATGGTTTTGCCAGCTTGCGATTGAGTGTTCAAGTTGCTCTATGACTCTTAAACCTTGCTTCATGCAATCAATTTAATTCTTATATTTCTCACTCAAAGATTCAATCATTTTTCTAATCTCTCTTTTTTATGTCTTAGTTAGTAACAGTTATGGGTTCTTTCTTTATAGATATACTTTAATTTTACATCAGATATCATTTCATTGTATTAATTTTATTGAGAAACAAATATCAATGAAACAGTTTGAAAACCAATTAATAGGACTGTTTCATAATTAATACATTGGATATTGTTGTCTTCTTAGTAGTTATTCATCTTAAAAGGTGGAGGCATGATATTCTGTCCAGACACTATTGGTGCAAATCATTTTTTCCCCTTTGAATTAAGAGAAGGTAGTAGCCTAATCATTTTGTGTAGGTATATATGAAATTGTCCTTCATTTGTATCCACTTTTTTGTTAATTTTGTCAGAGATGGGTATACCTTTGCCAGTTAAATACAGAAGGTTCGTGATTTCACAAAATAGCCCAATATAGTCCAGTAGTCCATAAAAGTAGTGGGTTATTCTTAGGACCTGCAATATCAGAAGTTGTTTACTTGAGGTCTTTACAGATGAGGCCATATTAATATGGCTTTGTTTTCTTATCTCATTTTTATGATTTTCTATGGGATGGTTAAGACCAAGATAAACCAAGAACTATATAACAAGAAATGTTACTTTTTTATCTGATAACACCAGTCAAATTCCATCAGGATTTACCCTGAAACCCTATAGAGCAGTTTTTAGATCCTTTGTCAGTGTCAGTCATGTGGATGAGTCATGGCCATGCTTGACTAATTTACTCTCAGATATTCTTTCTGATCTGGTTTCCTCTATATGTTTCTGCATTTGATTATTTACTTCTGATGCTATTAATTCAGAGACTTCTTTTTTTTCATTTCAGAGATTATTTCTGATCTAAGTCCCTCTATACTTTTCTGCAATTGTTTATTTACTTCAGATGCTAATATTTCAGACATTTAAGCCTTATGATACCCAATTTATTCTGTGATAGTGTTCTTTGCACTTGTCCTGTGTGGGCTTGGTGCCCTAGATTGCATTTTTTCTCCTTCTCTTTATCATTTTGTATAGCACTGTCCTCTGACCTTTGGTGTAGAGCATTTGTGCAGTTATTGATTTAGCATCTACTGTAAATGGAGTGCATATCTCAAAGTCTGAATTCATCTAGTTGTGCCTGGCTTGGGTCAGGCTGCTGTGCTCAGTTTCTTCCTGCTGTAGCCTCGGAAGTGAACCTGTTGTGCCTTCTGGCAAGATGTACTCCTCCTGGATTAGTTGGGTTTTTCTGGCCCCTAGCCTCTCTGCAGGGACTTTAAATGAAAGGAAGACTTACTTACAAGAGGTCCTGGGCTGGGTCCAGGGGGATACAGCAGGCAACTGGAGAGTGGAAGCTCTCCCACACATTCACCGGTACTTAGCATGTGCTAGGTTTGGAGGAGTCCAGAGAGCATGGGGGAAGGTCTTACTCATGTAGGTCCTGGTCCTGGGTTGGTTCTGTAAGGGTTCAGAGGGTTCCTGAGAGCAGGGATGAAGGTTTCACTAACATGCCGGGCTTGGGTTGTTTCTGGAGGGATCCTCTGGGCACAGAGGAGCACAGAAACTGTCCCACACAATCGCTGTTCCTGGGCTTTTGCTGGGTCTAGAGGAGTCCCGAGAGCATGGTGGTGGTTCTCACTTGCAAGCTGGGCTTGGTCCTCAGTTGGTTTTGGAGCTAGGCTTATGTTCTTCAAGAGGGATGGGAGAAGGCTCCATCATTTGGTTCATATTTCATTTTGCATATGTTTGGAAGATTACCACGGATTAAATCTCTTGCATTAGGAATTCCCTTTCTCTTTTGCAGGCTTCTGTCCAGTAACTACCAGCATTTTCTAGCCTTCGTTTTTGCCATAGAAGAGATCAACAAGAGTCCTCATCTTTTACCCAACATATCTCTGGGATATGAGTTCCACAATTTGCTTTTCAGTCGTAGGAGGACACTGGAAAGCTCGCTTATTTTGCTCTCAGGACAGGATGAGATCCCCAATTACTCCTGTAGGAGAGAGAACAAATCCATAGCAATGCTAACAGGAATCTCATGGGCAACTGCTACTCAAATTGGAAGCCTACTAGAATTGTACAAATTTCCACAGGTGAGAGTGGCTGGAGAAAGCTGAAACCATGTTTATATTGGTGTCATTGTCATGTGCTCCAAGGAGGTAAAATAATTTCACTTGTTTTATGCCTCTTTTAGGTTGCATAATTTCAAAGAATAGCCACATAGAGAGTTGGTGTATTCATAATTTTCTTCTTTAAAGTAAAAAAAGGAGAGGGTTGGCCAGGTAGCTATGTGGACTAAAGTGCTCTCTTGGGCAGTGGCTCGGGTTCATTCCACAGTGTGCAGTGCCAGCCCCGCCCCTGGGATGCACTGAGATGATGATAGGCCAATCTATGTGGTGAGATCCTGTACACCCTGTAGACCTTGTATTCAATTCATAAAGAGTAAAGTAATAAAAAGGAGATAAAAAATACAGCGAAGTTTCCTGAAAGTCTGTGTCTGATGAGTTACTTTCTAAGAAAGGCCTTAAGGCACAAAATGATGAAATAACAATGAAAATAGTTATTTTATATTGTTTCTCACTGGTACTTAGTATACTTTGGTTGTGTTTGTAAGATTTTATCCATGCCTTTCTACACACTCCTTCCAGTTTTTTTCATCTTAGGTCTCCTTTGGCTCATTTGACCATATGATGAGTGAACATGTGAACTTTCATTCTCTCTATCAAGTGGCACCAAAGGATGCATCTCTGGTCCTTGGCATGGTCTCTTTGATGCTTCACTTCAGCTGGAGCTGGGTAGGGCTGATCATCATAGAAGGGCATAAAGGTCTTCAATTTCTCTCAGATTTAAGAGCAGAGATGGACAAGAAGAGCATCTGTGCAGCATTTGTGAAATTTATTCCAACTCCTCTTGTGTCATATACTTCAAATCTACAGCCTCTTGACATCCTGACAAGAGAAACATCACTAGTGAATGTGGTCATTATTTACTATGACACTGCTGGTCTAAATGAGGTAAACTATAACATAGGGCAACAGTTCGTGACTTGGAGAGTCTGGGTGACAAACGCACAATGGCAGCCTGACATGGCTGGAACAAAATTCATTCTTGATTCATTCCATGGGACTTTCATTTTTTCAAGTCACCATGAAGAGATTTGTGGTTTTAAGAATTTTGTGCAGGCAGCCAATCCTTTCAAGTACCCAGAAGACACGTACCTCACTATGTACTGGTATAACCATTTCCACTGCTCATTCTCTGATACTGACTGTGCATTGAAGAACTGTACGTCTAATGCCTCTCTGGCATGGCTGCCTTTGAATCATTTTGACCCTGCCATGAATGATGCGAGTTACAATATATACAATGCTGTGTACGCAGTGGCCCATGCCCTCCATGACATGCTTCTTCAACAAGCACAGAGACCAGTAGTGGAAAGTAAAAGAGTGATGGCTTTTTCTGCTTGGCAGGTAATGTGTCTTCCATAGGATGTCTTACACTATCATCAGGGTGTCTGAGTTCCATACATGTACTGTATCCACAAACTTTGGAATTATTTTTCCAACAATATGGGAAATTATTTACCAGTATAACTGTTAAGGAGGAAAATCTTGAGCTCTGTAGAAACGATCAGCAAGTAAGAAGGTTTTCTGACTGAGGAAACAGATAAGAGGCAGCATAATTGCTTTGGTTTAAGTGATGTAAAAGCTCTGTCCACCTAATATTTTCAGCAAAAATCACCACATTTCTCATGGAGTACTAAATGATGGAAGAAAAATTTTTAGTTCTATGTGAAACTACATGGTTCTAAACCATAAACTAGGTTTATTGTAGGAATTTTCTCATTTAATTATGCAGCCTCTGAATCTCTTTCGGGCAGATGTTGTGGGAACAATCAGAGACAGAATGAGTACTTTTAAAAAATGTATAGTTAGTACAGGGTCTACAGAGTCTCACTACACAGTTTGGACTCATAGTGATTCTCCTGTTTGCAGCCTCATAAGAGCTGGAATTAAAGGTATGCACCACCACACCCAGTCTGAATTTCTGACTCAGCGTGCCCATGGGGTGGGTCATCACGGGCATAAACTCTAGTCCCTGCATCGACCTAAGCAGGCACTTTATTCTGCTTAGGTATTTGGCTAGACCTTCAGAATAAGTATGGAATGCTTCGATGCCACAGTTGACTTGTATGTAACACACATGCTCATTACTTAAAAATAGGATTTAATAAACTATTTTCTCTTTGCAGTGACATTTTATGAACATTGTGATAGTTTAAACCTCCATAGTGGTTTATTTTTTCTATTTCTTTAGATGTCAGTGCTAAAGTTGCATTATGGAAATGTAATGAAAGACAGACAGATACTTTACTTTATTCTTGTTTTCTGCCTTAATCATGGAGCCCTGTTCAACATAGAATATGTCCTTTTTAGCTCCACCCCTTCCTGAAGAATATCCAATTTAATAATCCTGCTGGAGACCAAGTGAACTTAGACAATAGAAAGAAACTGAATTCTGTGTATGATATTCTCAATTTTTGGAATTTTCCTGAAGGCCTTAGACTTAAGGTCAATGTAGGAATATTTTCGCCAAGTGCTCCACTTAACCAACAGTTGTCTTTATCTGATGACGTAATAGAGTGGGCCCCGTGGATTACACAGGTATGTTGGACCTACAGAAAACATACATGATTAACTAAAATAACATTGTTCTGGGTGTTTTGTGTAGAGAGTCTGATCTGAAGTATCCACATATTGAAGATGAATGGTTCATGTATTCATTTGAATACTTTAACAGTTTCTGATGAATGACGATGAAGTAGTTTTCATCAGAATTTTATATGTATGTGCATTTCGTACCATAAAATAAATATGGCACTGATTTATATAATTTTATGTGTGTATGTATACAAGTTAAGTTTATTTCTCTAGTTTTATTTTGTACCTTGTATTGAACTCAAGACTGCATCAGCCAGGCAGGCACTAATTCCAGTGAGCTGTATTCCCAGCCTGTTCTCTAGTTTGAAGTTAAAGTAAAACTCTAAAAAATTACTGGATACATTTTCACCCTAGAGTCCCAGCTCTGTATGCAGTGAGAGTTGTAATCTTGGATTCAGGAAATCCCCTCAAGAGGGAAAGCCTACCTGTTGCTTTGTTTGCATCCCTTGCCCAGAGAATGAGATTGCCAATAACACAGGTAAGAGCTTGCCTTATGGACAAATTCTCTGCCTGTACCTTTTGATTTTATTTTATTTTTTAACCCATAAATTTATTGATAAATAAATAGCAATGAGATAGTGTCAAATCAAATTGATAGGACAGTTTCAATAAATAACACTTTGCATACATTCCTCTCAGTGGTTAATTGGTGTACAAGATGCAGACATGATATCCTACTTACAAACACCATTAGAACAAATCATTTTATTCATTAAGAGATTGTAACTATATATCTATCCTAATCACTTTGAATACACAGATACAAAATGGACATTGATCTGTATAGCCTTTTTTGTGAAGTTCTGTTATTTGAATATTACACGTGTGTTAATTCAACAAAATAATCTAAAAGAGTACAGTAGTCCATAATAGTATTGGGTCTTCTGCTTGATTGGCAATGTCAGAAATTGTTGACCTGAGTCCCCTACAGCTCAACATAACAGCATGGCTTTACTTTTTATATTTTGTTTTTATACTTTTCTGCTGGGTGGTTAAGACCAAGGTAAAGCAGGACCTATGCAACAAGAGTTGTAGCTTTAGGGTCTGATAAGGTTAGTGAAATCCCCTCAGGATTTATCCTGAGATCCCGTACCTCAGATTGTTTGTCAGTGTCAGCCATGTGGATGAGTCACGGCGTTGCTTGGCCAATGTGCTCTCTGTGAAAGCCTGAGAGAGTGTCTTCTCCCCATGTGACTCTCCTTAGGCACACTCTACATCAGAGATCACTTTCTTCTTTGGCCCCATAATCTCCTTGATCAGAAAATTTGGGACACTGCCGGGTAACATGACGTTATTGCACCTGGACTATTCTTTGTCGGTAGGTTTTTAATTACATCTCGAATTTCATTGGGTGTTATTGGGCTATTAAGAGTGGTTATATCTTTTAGATTCAGTTGTGGTAATTTGTACCTTACTAGGTATCTGTCCATTTCTTCAGTGTCTTCTATTCTGTGAGAGTAAAGATTCTCAAAGTAGCTATTGACAATCTTCTGAATTTCCACTGTGTCTGTTGTAATTACACCCTTTCCATTCCTTATTGCTTGTATTTGAATTTTTTCTTTCCTCTGTTTGATGAAGTTAGCTAGAGGCTTATCTATTTTATTTAATCTTTCATAGAATCAGAGTTTTGTTTTTTTAATTCTTTGTATTGTTTTCTTCATCTCAATTGAATTAATTTCTGCTCTAATGTTTATGATTTCCTCCCATCTTTGGGCTCTGGGTTTGGTTTGCTCTTTCTTTTCTAGTTGTTGAAAGTGCAGCAGTAGGGTACTTATTTGTTTCCATTCTCTTTTCCTAATGTGTGAGTTCACAGCTATGAATTTCCCTCCGAGAAATGATTTCATCCTGTCACATAAGTTACGATAAGTTGTGCTTGAACTTTCATTGAATTTTAGATATTGTTGTATTTCTTGTTTAATTTCATCTGTGACCCATTGGTTGATGAGTAGGGTGTCATTTAATTTCCGTGTATTTAAGATTTTTTTCTGTTTTCTTTTGTCATTTATTTCCAGTTTCATTGCACTTTCATCAGGCAATGTGCATGGGATAATTTCTGTGTTCTTACATATACTTAAGCATGACCTATGGACTAGTATGTGGTCTATTTTAGAAAATGACCCATGTGGTGCTGAGAAAAATGTGTATTCAGCTGTGTTTGGGTGGAACACTCTGTATATGTCCACCAAGTCCATTTGTTTCAAGCTCTAGTTCAGTTCTGTTATTTCTTTGCTAAGTTTTTGTTTGGTTGACCTATCTTTTGGGGATAAGGGAGTGTTAAGGTCTCCTGTTAAAATTGTGGTATTGGATATTAGATTTTTCATGTCCATTAAGATTTGCTTTGTATAGTTGGGTGCTCCCGTGTTTGATGCATACATTTTTATGAATGTCACCTCTTCCTCTTAAATTTTCCCCTAAGGAGTATATAGTGAACTTTTTTATTTCACTTGATCATTGCTGATTTGTTGTTGAGACTGTCTTAGCATAGAATTGCTGCCTCTGTTTTTTTCTGAGTGGCTGGGGCATGTAGTATTGTGTTCTATCCTTTGACTTTCAGCCTATGAATGTCTTTATGAGTTAAATGTGTTTCTTGTATATTGTATATTGTTGGATTTTGTTTCCTAATCCACTGTGTATAGTATAGAAAGTGTCTTTCAAAACACAAAGAAGAATGAAGGATAATCACTAATGGAAAGGCCGTGTAATCGGAACACTTCAGGACTTAGCGTTTGACCTGCTGATTCAGAAAAATTGCCTTAAAATTTGTACTTGCAATTTTTTCCCCTTGCGTGCAAAATACAAACTGTTTTAAGATGAGCATACTTATTCTGCTTGATATTATTTATTTTTTTATATGTGTTTTACTAGAGTTAGGAAATATGTTGTATACTCAATAAGTGGTAATTCATTAAATTCATACCTGGGATAGCATGTTCAGTAGCTTTATTCAAATAAATAGGTCTATAAATGTATTCTGAATTCAAAAAATATTTTAATGAAGATTCCATTTTGATAAGGAGAATAAATAATAGCATATCTCACTGCGCCATAAAGTAATGGCAGTAATAATTGGGAGATATTTTCCATATAACATTTTTTTACTTGGTGTCAATAATAATCAAGGAAAGTCTTATGGTATATGCTGGGGAAGATCTGTAATCACAGCTCTCTCGGAGGATTGTAAAAGTATTCAGGCTTGAGTCCATCTAGGAAATATAGTATGCTAATTACATCCAATGTCAAAATAAAATAAAATAAAATAAAATAAAAAATAAAATTGAAAAGTCTTGGGAATTTAGCTCACCGAAAGAGTCCTCTAACAAACATTATACACTACAAAACACAAGATGAAAAACAATGGGCCGAAACAGGATACTTTTGTCATAGAAATCCAGTGAGATTTTAGGGGTGTGTCTGTGAATAAGAAAAAATAAGAAGTTGGAACTAATCACAACTTTAATTTCTCACTAGACATGGAGCAGTGTGTGAAGTGTCCAGATAACCAGTATGCCAATACTCAAAAATCGCACTGCCTGCAAAAAGCTGTGACTTTTCTGGCTTATGAGGACCCCTTGGGGCAGGCTCTGACAGGCATGGCCGTGATTCTCACTGTTCTCACATCTGCTGTTCTTGGGCTTTTTGTGAAGTACCGAGACACTCCTATTGTCAGGGCCAACAATAGGGGTCTCAGCTACACCCTGCTTATCTCCCTTACCTGCTGTTTCCTCTGCTCCTTGCTCTTCATCGGCCGTCCCAACACAGCCACCTGCATCCTGCAGCAGACCACATTTGGAGTTGTGTTCACTGTGGCTGTTTCCACTGTCTTGGCCAAAACCATTACTGTGGTGCTGGCCTTTAAGGTCACTTCTCCAGGCAGAAGGATGAGGCAGTGGCTGGTGTCAGGGGCACCAAACTTCATCATCCCGATCTGCTCCCTGATCCAACTTACTCTCTGTGGCATCTGGATGGGGACAAATCCACCCTACATTGACACAGAAGCACACACCAAACATGGCCACATCATCATCGTGTGCAACAAGGGCTCCCTCACTGCCTTCTACTGTGTCCTGGGATACCTGGGCTCCCTGGCGCTTGTGAGTTTCTCTGTGGCTTTCCTTGCCAGGAACCTGCCTGATACATTCAATGAAGCCAAGTTCCTGACGTTCAGCATGCTGGTGTTCTGCAGTGTGTGGGTCACCTTCCTGCCCGTGTACCACAGCAGCAAGGGAAAGGTCATGGTGGCCATGGAGATCTTCTCCATCTTGGCCTCCAGTGCAGGGCTGCTGGGCTGCATCTTTGTCCCTAAGTGCTACATTATTTTGTTAAGACCAGAGAGAACTTCTTTGCAAGAGTTCAGAGATAAAACACATCTTGTAAGAAAGAGACCTTAATTGTGTTTTACATTTCTACTTTTATTTCATATTTTGAGCTCTTATGCTATGGAAACTGTATGGTATTTACACATGTGGGTCTGGATTATTTCATTTATGAGTATACCTTTAAGTGGCATCCACTTAAATAAGAAATCTTAAAGTTTATCATTCTTTATTGATGAGTAAAATTCCATTGTATAAAAATACTACTTCTTTTTCATTCATTCCTCAGGAGATAGGCATGTTTGTTGTTTCCAAGATTTGGCTATCACAAATTGTGTTGCTATAAACATAGGTACACATATATCACTGTGATATGACATTTTGAGTTCCCTGGGAAATATTGCAGTATGGGGATAGGTGATTTGAATGGGATTTCCAGTCCTAGTTTTTTTTAAGGAGTCTCCAAACTGATTTCCATAATGGTTGCACCTGTCTACATTCCCACCATCAGTTTGAGTAGAGTTCCTTTTTCTCCACATCCTATGCAACATTTGTTGTTGGTTGATTTCTTTATAATAGACATTGTTTGAGTAGTGAATGGTATCTCAGTGTTGTTTTAATTTGCATTTTATAAATGGCTAGTGATATCGAGCATTTTTTATATGTTTATTCGCTTCTTTAATTTCACCCTCTGAGAAGTGTGTGTTCATCTCAGATGCCCATTTCTCAACTGGGTCTTTAAATTTGGAGGCCCTACTGTTTTTTTATTGCTTTGTGAATTCTAGATTGCGGGCCTTTGTCTGAGTGCTTATTAGTCAACCTATTTTCCCAATTCGTGTCTTGTCTTTTCAGTCTGTTGGTAATTTCTTTTGACCTGCAATAAGAGGAAGTCCCATTTGTTAATTCTTTGATGTATTACCTGTTCTGTTTGATTTTTTTATGTACTCTTTGCCTACCCTTATGTCTTCAAGAGTTTTTCCTACTTTGTGTTCTAGGAGATTTAGTGTTTTTGTCTTAATGTTTAGATCATTAATCCATCTTGATTTTATCTTAGAGTATGGTGATAGACCTGGGTCAAGTTTTACCTTTCAGCATGAAAAGAGCCAGTTTTTCCCGCACCATTTGTTAAAGAAGTTATCTTTCCTTCAGTAAGAATGTTTGGCCCATTTGTTGTGATTAAGCTGCCTGAGTGTGTTTGTATTGGCTTCTGCATGTTCTAATCTATTCCATTGATCTTTACACCTAATTTTTTGGTAATATCATGCTGATTTAATCACAATAGCTTTGTAGTATAATTTCAAGTCAGGATTTGTAATGCTTCCTGCCTTATTTTTGTTGCCCAGGATTGCCTTTGCTATTTTAGGTCTTTTCTGGTTCCAAATAAATTTTAGGATCGATTTCTGTAGGTGTGTGTGGTATGTTCCTGGTATTTTGACAGGGCACTTAGTAAATCTGGACAACAATTTTGGAAGCATGGCCATTTTCACAATATTGGTTATTCATATGTAGGAGCAGGAACAGACAATTTCATTTCTGAAATCCTCTACAGTTTTTTTTTCAGAGTGCTGTAACATTTCCTTGAAAAGATCTTACACTTGTTTAGTTAGATTAATTCCAAGGTAGTTTATTTTTTGCAGTACTACTGTGAAAAGTATTATTTCTCTAATTTCCCTCTCAGTGTGTTTGTTATCTGTGTAGAGGCATGCTACTGACTGTTGTGTATTGGCTTTGTATCATTTTATGCTACTCAATTTCTGTATTAAGTGTAGTAGATTCTTGGTGGAATGTTTTCGGTACTCCAAGTAGAGTATAATGTCATCTGAAAATGATGAAAGTTTATCTTTTTGTTTACCTATTCTTATTCTTTTTATGCCTCTCTTATCTAATTGTTCTAGCTAATGGTTCTAGAGTTATATTGAATATGATTGGTGATAGAGGACATCCTTGTCTTGTACCAGAATAGATAGTAAAATATTTCAGTTCTTCTCAATTTAGATTTACATTAGCCATTGGGTTGTCATAGATGGCTTTTATCAGATTGACATAGAGGCCATCTATTCTAATTTTCTCTGGGAATTTGAACACGAATGAGTGTTGGACTTTGTTAAAATCCTTTTCTGCATTAAGTGAGATGAGGATGTGATTTTTGTATTTTGTTTTACTGATATAATGTATTACATTTATAGATTTGCATGTATTCTAACAGCTTTACACATTTTTTTCTTTTGATGATTATATGTACTCTTTTAAAAATTTTAGTTTATTGAGAAACAAATAGCAATGAGACAATTTCAAAACTGTTTAATAGGACAGTTACAATAATTAATACATTGTACATTGTTAGCTTCTTAGTGGTTATTCATAATTCAAGATGCAGACAGGATATCCTGTTAAAAAATTGTTATCTTCTTAGTGGCTATCCATAGTAAAAGATGTAGACAGAATATTCTGTCCAAACAGTATTAGTACAAATGTTTCTTCTCATTGAATTAAGTGAAAGTAGCTATATATCTATCCTAATTATTTTGAATATACAGACACAAAGTGGTCCTTCTTTTGTATCCCCTTGTTTTGTTTAGTTCTGTCATAAGTGGGTATTCCATTGGCATCTAAATACTATGGGAGCATGTATTCTGCAAAACAATCCAACAGAGTCCACAGTCCAAAATAGTAGTGGGCTATCCACAGAAGTTGTTGACTTGAGCTTTTCATCAATCAGCATATTGATATGGCTTTACTATATATACCTCTTTTTTATACTTTTATGCTGGATGGTTAAGACCAGGATAAAGCAAGAATTATATAACAAGAAATGTAACTTTTCTATCTGATAAGGTCAGCCAAGTACCCTATGGATTTATCCTGTAATCCTGTACTGCAGTTTTTAGATCCTTTGTCAGTGTCAGCTATGTGGATGAGTCACGGTCATTGCTTGACCAATTTGCTTCCTCTGAAAGCCTGAGAGAATGTTTTCTCTCCATGTGACTCTCCTTAGGCACACTCTATGTCGTCGATCACGTTGCTTTGTGGTCCCATAATCTCCTTGATCAGAAAATTTGGGACACACTTGAGTTACCTGTTGTTACACTATAGGTTCACATATGTCCTGAGTCTTCACTGACTTTGAAAGTCTAGGGTCAAAATGTTGACTGTCCTTGCAGCCCTTCTATTTCTCTAATTTTTGACTTGCAAACTTACTTTGTTAATCCTCCAGAAGAGAGGCTTATTATGACCTTACAACATATGCATTTGAGCTTAACTCACTATCTTTCCGAGTATCAAATATCTTAGGCATAACATGAAACAGGTATTTTCCATCAAGAATTGATATGTTAAACCTTAAGTCCCTGCAGAATATGGAGATAAAAAGTTAAAAAATGAAAAATATTTAAAGAATATGAATAAACAATTGCATAGTTTTACACAGAAAGTTAGAAACTAACCATATACAGCAGGACAATCCTGTGACATTTTTTTCTTGTGTTTTACTTTTCATTTATTATCCATTTAAAAACAAAAACAAAAACAAACTTTTACTTAAGAGACAGTATAGTACTAGTTGCTATGTCATGATAAGAAATATGTCCAGAATGACAGGCATTCCAAGCATGGCATCCCAGAATGACAGGCATTCCAAGCATGAACCTACCATTACACATTGCTCTCTTCAGTGCTGTTGTTTGGCTAACATGTATCTGCACATATAGTTAGTCAGGGTGAGAATCCTACCAATTAACTGCTAGTTTCAAAAACCCACTGATGTTTCTCAGGATCATTGCCTTATCCATCTTGTGCATATACATTAAAACAGAAACACTTTTTTCTCTTTTGGAAGAGAAAGTAGGAGGAACTCTTGAAGATGTAGGGGTAGGCAAAGAGTTCATGAACAAAAATCAAATCGCATGGGTAATACTTGAAAGAATTAACAACTGGGACCACCTCTTATTGAGAAGTTTTTGCACGTCATAAGTATTTAAAAACAAAGTGAAAAGACAACCCAAAAATTTCGAAAAAATCTTAACTATTCAGCACTCAGACAAAGGTCTGGTGTCTAGAACTTATAAAGAACTGAAAAAACATTAGGGACCCTAAATTTAAAGACCTAATCCAGAACTCAGCATCCGAGATAAACACACACTTCTCAGACCATGAAATTAAAGAAGCAAATAAATATATGAAAAAATGCTCCACATCACTAGCTAAACATTAAATGCAAATTACAACACTGAGATACCATCTCACCTCACAAAGAACTATTATCATAAAGAAATCAACCAACAACAAATGTTGGAGAGGTTGTGGGAAAATGGGACCCCTTCTCCACTGCTGGTGGGAATGTAGACTGGTGCAGCCATTATCGCAATCAGTGTGGGGACTCCTTAAAAATCTAGGACTGGAAGTCCCATTCAATCCAGGTATCCTCCTACAGAGAATTTTCACGGAGAACTGAAAACATCATATCATAGTTATATATGTGTACCTGTATTTATAGTAGCACAATTGGTGATAGCCAAATCTTAGAAACAACCAAGATGCCTGTCACATGTGGAATCATTGAAAAAGATGTGGTATTGTTATACAATAGAGTATTGCTGAGTTATAAAGAATGATAAATTTGATTATATGGAACCTTGATTATTGTATGCCTTGTATTTTTATGTCACTCATATCTGGCTGGAACCCTATTTTCCGTCTTCTTCCATGACTGGGTAGTTTTCTCTCATTATTTCTGTAAATAGCTTTTAAAAATATATCACTTGCACTGTTTTCTCCTTTTCGATTGATTTTAATGTTTCTCTTCTCTTCTGCTGCTCTCAGTTCCATAATTCCTTCTAATTATATCTGAATAATTTTCTCTGGAGATGTTAAAAAACTGTAACAAAATGGGTTGTTTAGAATAACAAAATTATATTCTCAGACAGTACTGGAATCCAGTGTACAAAATGAAATTTTCACAGCATTCATCTTGAATTTAAAGACTTCATATAGGCAATCATTGTTCCTAGCTTTTGGCGGTGGCTACAGACTTTGGCTATATTTGACCTACAGTTATATATCTCCCCAATATCTATCGG